CCGATCCTTTCCGCCCTGCCCTGGCTCCCTCTCCATCTCAGAACCCAATTCAAAGTATTGGTCTTCACATATAGAGCTGTCCATGGCCAAGCCCCCGCCTACATTAACGACCTGATCCACCCTCACAGCACAACCCGGGCCCTGAGGTCCTCTGAGCAAGACCTCCTAAGGGTGCCCCGAACCAGGCTAAAGACTAAGGGGGACCGTGCCTTTGAGGCAGTGGTCCCAAGGCTTTGGAACGAACTCCCCCAGAAACTGAGACCCTCTGCCTCAGTAGAGATTTTTAAGGGGCAGTTAAAGACCCACCTCTTCCGACAGGCCTTTGGGTCGCCGGAGGAGGAGGAGAGTTAGTAGCTGTCTTTCATTGGGGTTTTATCCTATGTGTTACCTGCTGTGTTTTATTCTACATTTTATAGATGTACTTTGAATTGTGTCCTGTGTACTGTAAAGCACTTTGTACATCCGTGTTGAGAAGGGTGCTATATAAATAAAGTTTGACTTACTTACTTACTTATATGAGCTCTAAGTATCAAAAATTCCAACTTTGGTTAAACTGTCTGATAGGTCTTTGAATGCATCATTGAGATATTTAATGTACAGCATTTCTCCTCCATAATTGGAGCCTATATGCGGTTTGAATGTGGAAAAACTCGCTTTAAGTCGCTGATAGACTGAAGTTTTAGGACTATATGAGCTCTAAGTATGGAAAACTCCAACTTTGGATGAACTGTCTGATCGGTCTTTGAATGCATCTTTGAGATATATTAAAGGGGACCTATCATGCAAAATGCACTTGTGTACGTCTTTTCTACATGAATGTGTCCCCGGTGTTCCAGGGAACTCACCAAGTGTCAGAAAACACAACCCTCTCTATTTTCCTCCATACCCAAATCTCTAAAAAAGGGGCTGCAACGGATCTGATAAAAACTGATCCAGATTTGAACACTGTCCTGACGTCAGGACGGTGGCGCTACGGCTATTGGGCCAACTCCACCAATCAGGAGGAGACAGCCACGGACATTGCCGTTCCAAAGCGCTGGAGACGCTGTAGTACATATGCCAGGCCTCTAGGTGGTGCTGTTCTCACAGAATCTGCCCTTGCTAAAACAGAGCTAGAAATTGTCAAATTGAGCGAAATGAGGCATGGCTAAAATGCATGATCTGTTTGGTATTTTGAAAAAAAAAAAGTTTAAATATGCCTTAGGAAAACCCGCTAGAAATGGCTGATATTGTTCTTTACCTTTGCACAAGCAGGTGCTAGCACTTACAAATATTTCCACCTTGATTCTTTACCAAGTTTGTAGATTTTAGGGCGTTTATGATCAACACATACATCATTTCTTTAGTCATAATGAATAAATCTCAGTAACAAGAGTGTCACCAGATGTGTTTACAATTATAATATTATTTTTCTGTGAGGTTAAAATGCTCTTATAAACATCCTGGTTCCCCTTATTATGTATTACACTGGAACCCTTTTGCATCTTAAAAACACAACTAAACACTTTTGGTCCCAATTTATTTTTCAGTTTTGGGTAAAAATAGAGGTTTATGCATCTTTGACTTTTAATTAATGCTATTTTTAATATCTAAAACCAAACTGTGGATACGTTTATGAAACTAAAACATCTGCTAACAAACTCCTGCAGTATAATCATCTTTATTAAGTCATTCTCTGGCTATTTGTTGTGTCATTTATTTATAAAACCCAGTGAGCAGCGCGGCTCATTTTCCCTTTTTCTTGTTCATTTACTGTAGCTCCAGTTATTCTCATTACTGGTTAATCTGCTGATTATTTGCTCAATTTAAAAAGTGAAAGGTGCTAATTATAATTCATCAAGTTCATTTTGGTTTGAATTGCTTGTTTTCTTTATTCATCGGAGCAAAAACAGCAAAAGTCATTTAAACCGAACAAGACGTTTTAAAAGCAGGAGGCAGAACATTAAGTTGAGATATTTCCTTAAATTAAAATGATGTTTAGTAATTGCTAATAAAGCTTTGTGAAAGCACCATTAATGCTAATCTTTTAGGGTTTTCTCAGAGCTGTTGTTCATTTGTATCTCATTTCTAGGGAGATTGTGGATGAATTTAGTCGATAAATCGGTTTTGAGTCAATTAGCATGTAGCTTTTATTTGATAATGAATATTATAAGACATTTTGCATGACAATTAGGAGAAAGACTACAATATTTAGTCAATTTTCAGAGTTTGGTGGCTTTGAAGACATGTTTCAACATATTTATGGTCCAGTGTATTCACTAAATCACATGAGAACCCAACCTTGTTCACTTAAAGGGGACCTATCATGCAAAATGCACTTTTGTACGTCTTTTATACATGAATATGTGTCCCCGGTGTTCCAGGGAACTCACCAAGTGTCAGAAAACACAACCCTCTCTATTTTCCTCCATACCCAAATCTCTAAAAAAGGGGCTGCAACGGATCTGATAAAAACTGATCCAGATTTGAACACTGTCCTGACGTCAGGACGGTGGCGCTACGGCTATTGGGCCAACTCCACCAATCAGGAGGAGACAGCCACGGCCATTGCCGTTCGAAAGCGCTGGAGACGCTGTAGTACATATGCCAGGCCTGTAGGTGGTGCTGTTCTCACTGAATCAGCTCTTGCTAAAACAGAGCTAGAAATTGTCAAATTGAGCGAAATGAGGCATGGCTAAAATGCATGATCTGTTTGGTATTTTGAAAAAAAAAAGTATAAATATACCTTATATAGGTATGGTCCTACACTATATTATTCAAATATAGCATGATAGTTCCACTTTAAACGTATGAAGAAGAATTCTCGATGCATTTTTCCCAGCTTGCATCCTGCAGGAAATCAAACGTTCACTTGTGTTTTATTGGACTCTCTGCTATCTACAGTTTGTCCTGTGGAAATAACCCTTATTGTTTCAGGTGGTTTTATGGATGCTTCTAAACCAAACTGAGAGGACGACCTTCAGGCTTTATTCTGGAGTTCAAATGTTCTTTAAATCAAACACAGCTTATGTTGTGGACTCGACATCGTGCAACACAAACTAAATCTGTGAAGCAATGTGTAGACGACAGGACACCAAACATACTGAGGCTTCATTTCCAGCTGATTCTGACCCACAGCAGTGTCTCCACATTGACTTTGAATAAAACGCATTCAAAAGCCAGATGACTTCAAGAGCATTTCCGTTTGTTTATGTTGTGAAATGAAGCCAGAAAAAGGCCCTTATCTGGGATAAAAACGCGAGCTGAGAGGCTTCTCCGGAGGCTCTGTCTCTGCTGGAGGTGAAACTGAAATGAGTGGGTGATAAAAAGCTCTGCTGTGATGAATCCCCCAAATACTGCCATCTCCACAGCACATTCAGACACTTTAAAGGTTGTTTGTAAATCATATTCCCTATTTATTACGTCTTCAGTATCGATCTGCATGTGTTTTCAGAGCGACTGACGGATGACAGCAGGTGCAAACGGTGTTATTCAGATCCTGTTTTAATGCCAGTCCTTTAAAAAAAACTCTGCTTTCTATCAAAGTCATCATTTAAATAATTACACTGTGAGGTTTTAATTAGGAACAACTGTTCAGAGTCCCTCGAGTCGCTCGTTCTCAGCTTTCTGGCAGAAAGACAGAGTTTCTGATCAAACAGGTTTCTTGTTTTTCTTGATAAATGTGCTGCTTTAATTTCAGAAGAACAATGAGAGCACTGTGTAGCGTCTTGTTGCGTCTAATGGCAGCTTTTTCATCAGGGTAATTCAACTATATTATTCCCAATCAGCCCAAAACCTTATTCATCCTGGGGGGAAAACATTCATAAATTGAAAAATAAAATACACAATCTCTATACAAACATGAAAAGTAAGGAAACAAATTAGATAAAATATGATAGTAAATACAATTTTTTTTTAAGTCCTATAAAAAAAGAAAAAGTCTTATAAAATGTCCGACAAAAAGATAACACAAAAATGTAAATAAAATGTGATGTTACTAAATTCTAAATTGCAACTTATCAAAAACATGCAATTTGATGCAACTTTATTTCACACCGGACGCAATGAGAATATTCGCTTCGCTCTAATCGCTCCTATCGCATCGCTCTAAACGCTGGAGTTTCACCGCGGCTGCCAGCTGTGTTTACTCGCATCATTCAAACAAGACGCGCTGGCTCGGGAGCTACAACTACAACAAATGAACATATTTTACCGTGATTTAATTGTAATACACGTTTCTAAATGATGAAGTAACAACATACTGATACCGGTTAGTAAAAACCATGAATTAATGCTTTGTCAAGTCTGCAGACAGACGGCAGGCGAAAAACCTTTTAAAATGCGTGTTTTCTAAATGGAGATTGGCTAAGCTAACGCAGTATATGCTCCGACCGTCCACACTCACAACAACGGCCTATACAGACATAAATAAAGCAGCGACTGTATTCTCCATGACACAGGCAGTCTGTGGTTTGTACTTGTTTAACTTTTGTCTAGTTTCTGAACAGATATGAGGAGCTGTGAGCTCTGAGTGCTAACAGCTAACGGCTGATGTTTTGGTTTTCTGGTTCAACGTCAGGCTGAGATCCTCACCGCTGATTGGCTACCGCAAGATCGCGTCACGCAAATTTGACGCTCGAGTTGAAACTATTGAACTCGAGCGGTTGTCGCCTCAATCGCGCCGCGGCATTCGCGTCCACCGCTTCATGCTCACCGTCGGAGCGAATTCGCGTCTGTCCGCGTCTCTGCATTGACTTTACATGTAATCGCGCCGCCCCCAAACATCGCATCGCGTCCGGTGTGAACGCAGCATTAGTGATTTTCATGATATAAAAACATTGGTTAACCATTAGGCCGACTTATTGATAGAAGTCTGAAGTTGTAAGGTTGTTACTGTCTTTACAAAGGCTTTTTTAGCTGCAAAATAAAAAAAAATAACATGAGACTTCTATCAGCCTTATTGGTCGAAATCACAATTAAAATAGGACAATCAGCTTCATATTTGACACATGCTGTCTTACCTCATTCACGAACACCCAGTGACTGTCTTTGGAGGCCAGGTTGGTCTCCACCGCCTGCAGAGAGACAGACAGACAGAGAGACAGAGAGACAGACAGGTTAATAAGACGCTCTGCAGATCGTTTACTCTCAGAACATGATTTGGTGTTTGCTGCTTCGACTCTTTGTTCCCTCTCGTGTTTCCTCTTTGTCTGACGCTGAAGGACTCCAAAGAGGCCAGGTTGGTTTCATAAGGGTTAATGAGACGCTCTGCAGATCGTTTACTCTCAGAACATGATGAAGTATTTGCTGCTTCGTCTCTTTGTCTGACGAGGGTTTGAAAAGTTCACCTCCCTGAAAAACAAGCTGTTCCTGTGATCGGTCGTCCCGCCAACATGTCGAGCAACAAAAGCTTTCTGCACTCATAAAGCGCCCGAGGCTCGTCTGCCGTAGACAGATGATACTAATAACATGCAGCGCTGGACAGATGATACAAGATCGCACGTTCAACGCTTTATTCTCCACACAAACTGAGAGGAGACTGGACAACGGGAAGCCATCATGATGAATATTGATGATAGGAGACGAAGTATAAGAGACGTTTTGACTTTAAAGAGTTTTAGGAGGCCAACACAACAACAGATATGCAAAACAGTGACAGAGAGAAACTGCACAGAGAAACACAATGAAGACAAAAACAGACATGAGACAATACTTTACAACAAAGAGACAAAAAGCAGCTACAGAGAGACACTAAAGGACTACAGAGAGACACTAAAGGACTACAGAGAGACACTAGAGGACTACAGAGAGACACTAGAGGACTACAGAGAGACACTAAAGGACTACAAAGAGACACTAGAGGACTACAGAGAGACACTAGAGGACTACAGAGAGACACTAGAGGACTACAGAGAGACACTAAAGGACTACAGAGAGACACTAAAGGACTACAAAGAGACACTAAAGGACTACAAAGAGACACTAAAGGACTACAGAGAGACACTAGAGGACTACAGAGAGACACTAGAGGACTACAGAGAGACACTAGAGGACTACAAAGAGACACTAGAGGACTACAGAGAGACACTAGAGGACTACAGAGAGACACTAGAGGACTACAGAGAGACACTAAAGGACTACAGAGAGACACTAAAGGACTACAAAGAGACACTAAAGGACTACAAAGAGACACTAAAGGACTACAGAGAGACACTAGAGGACTACAGAGAGACACTAGAGGACTACAGAGAGACACTAGAGGACTACAAAGAGACACTAGAGGACTACAGAGAGACACTAGAGGACTACAGAGAGACACTAAAGGACTACAGAGAGACACTAGAGGACTACAGAGAGACACTAAAGGACTACAGAGAGACACTAAAGGACTACAGAGAGACACTAAAGGACTACAGAGAGACACTAAAGGACTACAGAGAGACACTAAAGGACTACAGAGAGACACTAGAGGACTACAGAGAGACACTAAAGGACTACAGAGAGACACTAGAGGACTACAGAGAGACACTAAAGGACTACAAAGAGACACTAAAGGACTACAGAGAGACACTAAAGGACTACAGAGAGACACTAAAGGACTACAGAGAGACACTAAAGGACTACAGAGAGACACTAAAGGACTACAGAGAGACACTAAAGGACTACAGAGAGACACTAGAGGACTACAGAGAGACACTAGAGGACTACAGAGAGACACTAAAGGACTACAAAGAGACACTAGAGGACTACAGAGAGACACTAGAGGACTACAGAGAGACACTAGAGGACTACAGAGAGACATTAAAGGACTACAGAGAGACACTAGAGGACTACAGAGAGACACTAAAGGACTACAAAGAGACACTAAAGGACTACAGAGAGACACTAGAGGACTACAGAGAGACACTAAAGGACTACAGAGAGACACTAGAGGACTACAGAGAGACACTAAAGGACTACAGAGAGACACTAAAGGACTACAGAGAGACACTAGAGGACTACAGAGAGACACTAGAGGACTACAGAGAGACACTAGAGGACTACAGAGAGACACTAGAGGACTACAGAGAGACACTAAAGGACTACAGAGAGACACTAGAGGACTACAGAGAGACACTAAAGGACTACAAAGAGACACTAGAGGACTACAAAGAGACACTAAAGGACTACAGAGAGACACTAAAGGACTACAGAGAGACACTAAAGGACTACAGAGAGACACTAGAGGACTACAGAGAGACACTAAAGGACTACAGAGAGACACTAAAGGACTACAGAGAGACACTAAAGGACTACAGAGAGACACTAGAGGACTACAGAGAGACACTAAAGGACTACAGAGAGACACTAAAGGACTACAGAGAGACACTAAAGGACTACAAAGAGACACTGAAGGACTACAGAGAGACACTAGAGGACTACAAAGAGACACTAGAGGACTACAGAGAGACACTAAAGGACTACAGAGAGACACTAAAGGACTACAGAGAGACACTAAAGGACTACAGAGAGACACTAGAGGACTACAGAGAGACACTAAAGGACTACAGAGAGACACTAAAGGACTACAGAGAGACACTAAAGGACTACAAAGAGACACTGAAGGACTACAGAGAGACACTGAAGGACTACAAAGAGACACTGAAGGACTACAGAGAGACACTAAAGGACTACAGAGAGACACTAAAGGACTACAGAGAGACACTAGAGGACTACAAAGAGACACTAAAGGACTACAGAGAGACACTAAAGGACTACAGAGAGACACTAAAGGACTACAGAGAGACACTAAAGGACTACAGAGAGACACTAGAGGACTACAGAGAGACACTAAAGGACTACAGAGAGACACTAAAGGACTACAGAGAGACACTAAAGGACTACAGAGAGACACTAAAGGACTACAGAGAGACACTAAAGAACTACAGAGAGACACTAAAGGACTACAGAGAGACACTAAAGGACTACAGAGAGACACTAAAGGACTACAGAGAGACACTAGAGGACTACAAAGAGACACTAAAGGACTACAAAGAGACACTAAAGGACTACAGAGAGACACTAAAGGACTACAGAGAGACACTAAAGGACTACAGAGAGACACTGAAGGACTACAGAGAGACACTAGAGGACTACAAAGAGACACTAAAGGACTACAAAGAGACACTAAAGGACTACAGAGAGACACATAATGACAATCGATTGTACAGTACTGTATATCAGGCCACACTCCTTCCTTCAAATTATAAATATATTCACTGTTGACAGAACAAGTCAAAGGTCATTGATCAACCCAACAGGCTTTAATCAAAGTGTGAGTGTTAACGAGTTCCATCAGAAACTACAGAGCAGCTGCTGGGCGCTTTCATGGGAAGAAAACAATCCTGGATTCATGTTTATTTAAAACAATCAGCTTTAATGTTCTCCGCCTGTGTGTCCACGTTTCTAAATCATGATACATGTGTGTGTGAACATGTGTGTGTGAACATGTGTGTGTGAACATGTGTGTGTGAACATGTGTGTGTGTGAACATGTGTGTGTGAACATGTGTGTGTGAACATGTGTGTGTGAACATGTGTGTGTGAACATGTGTGTGTGTGAACATGTGTGTGTGAAGCATGTGTGTGTGAACATGTGTGTGTGAACATGTGTGTGTGAAGCATGTGTGTGTGAACATGTGTGTGTGTGAACATGTGTGTGTGTGAACATGTGTGTGTGTGAACATGTGTGTGTGAACATGTGTGTGTGAACATGTGTGTGTGAACATGTGTGTGTGAAGCATGTGGAGCTGAAATTAACAACGTAACTCATCAACTCATCATCATCTGAAGCTGTGTGGAGACAACAACAATTAAACAAGATGTATGAGAACAGACAGCAGGGAACATATGGTACACACACACACACACACACACACACACACACACACACACACACACACACACACACACACGTTAACTCAGTGTTAAGGCCACCGCATCGCTCTGCTAACAAACTTCACATGTTTTCTTCTTCTTCTTGGATATCTTACACCTGTCATCATAACCTAACTGCAGGAACACACACACACACACACAGACACGCACGCACACACACACACACACACACACACACACACACACACACACACACACACTACACACACACACACACACACACCACAACACACACACACACAACACACACACACACACACACACACACAACACACACACACACAACACACACACACACACACACACACACCACACACACATGCCCCTTTCACACCGGCGCTTTTCCAGCTCCTGCTGGGAGCTAGAGCCTGAAAAGCGCCGGTTTTTCCTGTTCACACCGCAGCGGCGGCGCGTCATAGCTCCGGAATGCGGTTCACTTCCAGCTCCAAAAAATTGTCGGTCCAGAGGCAAGAGCTTCGGAGCTATGACGCGGCGTCGCTTACGTCTCTTACGTCGAGGCGTGCAGGAAACCTTACTTTGACCATCCGTTCGCTGTTATTGATCATTGTGGAGATACATGGGCTGTACAGGTTGTCATGTCCGACTATCAGAAGTAGAATCATAATGAAAAATACGCCGGGTAAAATGTTGCCTGTAGAAAACGGCCTTAGCAAGTAGTCAGTTTAGCTTCGGTTGCTATGCTAACATCACCCATGTTATACCAGAGAAACTTCCATAACAGCGTTGTGATGCCAAACAGCGTCAATTCAGACTGACACACATTCACTTAAGGGGAACTGGGGATATGTATCAGCTGCTTGTGTGACAGTCAGACAGTGAATACTTTAGAGCCGTGTGAGCTAACCCGGAGCTAACGGGAGAATAAACTCCCGTGGAAGTGCAGCCAGCACTGCAGCGGTCGGTAAATGCCGCTGAAACACATTAATAAACAATGAACCACGGCACTCTGGAGAAAAGTATAAGGTTGGAGAAGTCGTTATTTAATTTAATCTGGCTTCGTATGATTAAAAGCAACACGACCCGACGCAGTCCCCGGCCCGTTGTTGTTGTGGGAGAAAATCAGCGACGTAAACTGTGACGTCATGACGCAGCAGCGGCAGCTCTGGGCAGTGTGAACA